CGCTGCTCTCTGCCTCCGCTGCTCTCTGCCTCCGCTGCTCTCTGCCACCTGCCAGCGCTCTCGGTCACGCCCACTTTTCCGCTGCAGAGCGGAGATGTGACACGCTGCAGGACAAAGCTTCTCCTGCAGCTGTAGGCTGCACACAGGTGCAGCAGGTATTTTAAATGAAAATGTCATGCCGATCATGTGGCTCATCCATCAATCAGCCAGTTGTGTCTCAAGTCCAACCTTCTTTTGAAAAACCACGTTAGAGCGAGTCTACAAAAAGCAAACCGCGAAGTAGAGAGGGACTACTGTACATGTTTTAAAGGTAGAACCTTGTTGCACTCTCCTCATGCAGGAGATATACCCGCACATGCAATAATCGAGAATAGTTAGAAGTATGTAAATAAAAATAAATCTTATTTAAAAATGAGATGATGATATTTTCACTGTCTTTTTTCCATCTGTAATAAAAATTCACATACATACATGGGACGATCACAATGTGCAAACTTGGTAATTTTCCCAACGATTTGCCTAAATTGAGCTAGTGTTCATGATTTTTTTCTTTCACCAGTATGCAGCGAGTGGTAGTGATGGAGAACAAAGTGTTCTCCTCACCTTACTATACTTATTTGCTCTTGTTCACATTGGGGCACCAACCAGGTCACTGTACTGACCAATAACAGGTTAATTAATGTAATCACCTTTTATAGTAAGAACTCAATCACTGAAGTAGAATTTGTTAATTACTGGTAATAACCATAACAAATGAATGTTCACCCAAATGAGGAGGAGATTGAATTTGTATTTGGAAATGTTATTGCAAAAATGATTAAATCAAGGATTAACACTCATTTATACAACAAAAGTAACTATTTATACATAATTTATTTGAGCTTCATTCCATGAAAGGTTTTAAATAAAGTCCAACTATTCGATAAACAGTTTTCTTTTGGAATTTGGATGGAGGATTTTAATTCAATTCAGCCAGATTATAAGGATATTTATATAATGGGTGAGTTTTAATAAAGTGCATCAGCTTCCATCACATCAGTCAGTCCTCTGGGATGAACATGTGCAGTTGTTGTTAGCCGTGTCACTGAAAGATGCTCTGTCCTGCGCTCTGGTCCTGTTTTTGAGGAATATCACCTCTTAGTGTTTGCTTCCATCTGATGATGACAATAAATATGTCGAAGCTGAGTTCTGTTGTGATTCGAACAGAAGCTGACCGAATTCTACGGCAGATCCGCGAACAAACATGCTAATCATGGGCAACACTTAGACAACACGTCGTCTCTGATGTTGTGATAAACCCAATGCTAAGAACACTTTTTTTTTTTTAATCAAATCTCTTTTTAAATGTTGACAGTGTCATTGTATCTGATGCGCATCTCCTTTGAGTTTGCCGTTTGTCGTCTGCCTGCTGAATGAAGACTGCTGCAGCCATCTGCAAACACAGTATTCAGGCAGAGGATGAGGGAAAAACAGCTTCAATAATCTTGTTATGACAAACTGTCACTGACACTGCTAAGACTTTAAAAAGCGCCTGCTCACTCTCTTTGTGTCTGTCAGTGTTTTTCATTTCGTGTGTCGTTCTCCACGGATGCAGGACACAAACTGCACATCTGTGCTCAACACACACTTTCACATAAACTCCAAAAGGCCTTGGATTGGTTCAGCAAACAGAGGAGTTTGGCCCATGGAATATTTTATTTCCTCCACATTGGACTCTTTCCACCTGTGTGGACCCAGCAGATGAGAGAAGAGCCATGCTCCTGCTGCTTTAACACTCTTTAAGAACATTTGGGAAACTCTTTTCCTTTTTGGCTTCCAGACACTTAACAAAAGAACAGCTGAAGCAAAAGAAAAAAACACATTCTACCTTTTTTTATTTTTTATTTTGATGTGCAAACATTTTGGAGTCGTTTTAACTTCACAGTCGCCAAAGCTAGTCAATAAACAAGCCCAGCTACCAAGATGTTAAACGAAAAAGGATGGGTTCATTTATATGTCTGTTAGCAAAATAACACGAACCACTGGCTGTATTTTGATGAAACTCTCAGAAAGTAACCATTGGACGCACATCTACATCTGTTAGTGTGAATGTTTATGAAGCATATTGAGATCCACTTTTCTTCCATATGTTTTTCGGCAGCTTTCTCATCCACAATTTTTGTGCTATTTCAACAAATCATACATCAAAATGTTCAGCTCTTTCAGGAGAAAGGAGAAGGGTGGTGACTTTTTGGTAATGGTGCAACTTTAGCTTTTTGAAATCTTTAGCATTTTCTGCCACTTTTTTGATTATAGAAAATTATTTGAACTCATTTAACATCCTTCAAATCTTTACATATGTTTACATTTTACTGCTCCTTTCACATTTTGTTCTGGTTCAGCTTCTTTCAACATCCTTGTGCAAATTTATACTTTTTTCAGCTACTTTTAGCAAATTTCTGCTGTTTTGTGATCCTTTTAGATTCTTTCTTCTGATTACAACATTTTTGTGCTTCTTCTAACTTATTTTTACTAATTTCAGCTTATGCTCCTTTCAGCTTTGTAGTGAACTAAGCCTCAGGTCAAATCTGGCCCTGAGGGCCTTTCTGGGACAAGAACTGTTATTTCATTGATTTGAGTCCAGAAACACAACATCAAGTCCATCCAGAGACTTTCTAAGTGTCCTGCACTGATCAATTGAAAGAACACTCTCTTTTTTATTATCATTACTATTTTACAAATGTTTTGATAATCAAAGTGTGTTTAGTTCAAACCATTTTAAATGTTGAAGTGAACTACTCATTTTAAATCAACTGTGAAACAGTATTAATGATTTTTAATCCTCATTCAAAGTAGAAATCAAGTTAAGGTCTGTTACAGAGTAATTATTCATTTTTCTTGATCTTCTGTCTGAAATGAGCAAGTGTAAGTTGGTCAAAGGTCAAGTTTCGGTCAACTACAAGTTTACTGGAAAGAAATGTCATGTTTAACTTTTTCAGGCAGATATGAGAGAATTGACTCCACGAAGTCTCGGGTTCTTCAAAACATCTTCTGTCTGTTCTTAAACAATCTAATCTTTTTCCCTTGACTTTTAATAACCTCTTACATCACTAAGACCACACCCTGTTGGTTCGTATCGACCAATCAGGAAGCTCTCAGAGGAACCGGAGGTGACCTCTTTAAAAGGTTCAACACTTCCTAGTTCCAGCAGTGTGCGGTGGGAGAGCAGTTCAGTTCGGAGAGCAGTACCGAACAGAAAAGTGCTGGAGAGAACAGGAGGTCCCAGACATGATCCGGAGTTCTTCCGAGTCTCGTAGGAATTATGAAATCTTCCACATCTGAGTGGAACTCTGACGGACTCACAACTCATGTGAGCCCACCCGGGAGGTGAACGTGTGTCGAACGAAGTTGCGTCACTACTCCGGACGTTTCCCAACCATCCTACGGAGACGCTGGAAATGGTAGCGTTAAATGGAACTCCGTACCAGCTGATTCATCTTCAGAGAGGTAACGAGTCGATTTCCTACCGAAGCGTACCGGGGTGAAACTGGGTTCGAATGGAGAGTGCCGTTCTGATACAGACACATATTCCCTCATCCATCTTCCCATCTCTCTCCATTTAAACTTCATTTTTCCATCTTTAAAACTCTTCTATCTTGCTAGTAATTAATCCAGATATTTTCAGAAATGTCTGTT